CTTTCGTAAGTTTGGCAAACGACACCCAGGATATCTCTTCGAAGACTAGAAGGGTGTCGTCTCCATATTCCATATCGGTAAGGGCTTCATAAGCGGCCATTTGAACACCACAGTTCTGAATAACCCCAGGAGTTCGATCAAGTAACTCGTCTATCACAGAAGTGAATAGGAACAGAGAAGCTAGGCGTGTTTGCCAAATAACATCCTTTCTACGCAAGCCTTTGGAGAGCTATCAGGATCCTCTAACACTCGCGGAAATCTAAGAACCCAAAGAACTTTTTCTGTTCACAAACACCCATGTCACTGCTTGCTGGGCAAGCATGTTAAGGAAAACAGATGGGTCAACCAAATCGAATGAGCCTTGAAAATCCGGGAATACCAAACTTGTGGATCTCCTTTACTAAGGCCGTTTTCTACAATATGACAGAGTGCGAACATTTGGTCAATGTAATCCCTTCCAGGCCGAAATGCTTCCTACCGCCCTCGCCGGACTGTTCTACAAGTCACCATAAGGTAAATAAGGACAAGTGACACCAAGAATCTTGTTACGGCTGAAATAAAGCTGGTTTCCCTGTGATTCACATGCTCACTGCAGGTCTCTTTAGGAAGCACAGCACTATCACCCATTCTCCCCTATTTTTAGGGAGAGACAAGTGCTGATTGGGGACGTCACCCCCATCTACGAACAATATAGTTGGGAGGTTGTTCGAAACAGAAGTTCAGTGGCGCTTGTGAGAACATATGTTGGCCTAAACCTCCGAGGCCGAAGCGTATTCCAGGTTCACCGTCCAGGGTTCTATTTCAGTTTCGAGGCTAAATGAGTGCCATAAGGTGTGGTTAAAGTGGTAAAAACGTCTTTTCATGAAGGAAACTGCTCACAAGGTTGCTGGAAACTCTTCGACAGCCCACGACCGTTTTCGCCCTTCTTGGGGCTCATCAGGTAGGCGCAGTTCCCAAGTTTCCGTCAACCTTATGTTCTACTTGGACCCAAATTGGACTGTTTTCAAGAAATAAACTTACCTGCAAATCAATTTGGTTTTCACGTGAGACTGAACTAAATCCCTCGTTTATGATAATCTACAACTGAATATGCTGCACATAGGCCGCCTCATGTTTCATTTGGCACGATATTCGATGTAAACCAAATTGATTTGCAGGTGAGTTTATTTCTCGAAAACAGTCCAATTTGGGTTCAAGTAGAACATAAGGTTGACGGAAACCCGGGGGCCGCGCCTACCTGATGAGCCCCAATAAGGGTTCAAACCGGTCGTGGGCTGTCGAAGAGTTTGCAGCAACGTTGTGAGTAGTTTCCTTTATGAAAATATACTGCGATATCTCGAACATCCTGCCAACTGAAACACTAGACGGCATGTGTGCAGCACATTCAGTTGTAGAATATCATAAACGAGAGATTCACTTGAGTCTCTCGTGAAAACCAAATTGATTTTCAAATGAGTGTAGTTCTGGTGAAGACGTCCTTCTTTATTAAAGATGGCCACGTCGGTCTTATCCTTGAGTTTTTCTCAAAAATGACTTCGGGGACCGGTCACGCGGACCACCCGATGTAATCTTCGGGCATTCTCGGCCCTTCTGAAACTCTTTAACTTCTTTAGCATTCCGTGTCCACCATGCTTCATGCTGGGCTTGCTTACTAAGTTCCATTTGACGTCCGAAAATTTGTCGGGCCGAATTTTGTTCGGCACCAGCGAGAACAGTTCTGTTCTGCCCGATATCCGCTACTCATGCTGTCCTGGTAGCGCCGCACCAAAGGCAAACCTCCAGCACTGTAGAAATATGTAACAATCTCGTTCCAAAATGAACTCACATCTGATGATGAAGCTGTTAGACGAGAATCCTGAACGCGATCCTGATAAATCTGTGTAATATCCAGATTTGGTAGTTTCTCAGTTACAAACTGAACCTGTTCCAAACTTATGCGAGTCTGGAAAACAAAGGTAGAAGCTACTCAAGACCAGCGCGTGTTCAGAATTCACAAATATGTCCCAAAACTAGCAACAGTTAGTAACTAGTGGCAATATGATCAATTTGTGGATGGCACGCTGTTAAGGACACTAGCTGGCCAGTCGACTTCGGCTAATTCTGAGTTTTTTAAGGCATAAAAAGCAGTGTCCGTACCTAGAGAGTTTAAACCATGTCGACCAACTGCAACCTGCTCACATGTGCGTTCAGATCTCTGACAACCACAATGATTTCCGAGCCTTCATCCCGCCATTCAAAGCTTTATAAAACGTGTGTTTGTCAGTTTGGAGGTAAGCAAACAAGATAAACAGACGGCGATCGACTTCTCGTTTGTGAGACTGATGCGGTATCCTGTGGATCGCAAGAGTTACGCGGCCGGAAGCGAATAGAGAGTTACGGGACTGTTACTTCAACCACCGTGCCTACATCTCATATGCTTGTTTCTGATACACCGCACACTTCAATGTAAGGCCAGTCTAAACTGAGAGCAAGAACAGCTTTTTGACCTGCTTGCTTCAGAGATTGAACATTAAAGACAGCCAGATAGATTGGGCCTCGGGGTCCAAGGCTGTCAGCGGCAGTTACCATGCAAATGTTGCGAAAAAAGACGCAATACGGGTGTGTGGTCATTCCCAATGAGGGACCATAACGAGAGAGTTATTCTTGTGGCGAGGAAGTGAGGACAAAGAAATACTTGAAAGAAGAGGGGTGGCCGTCAGCAGTAGCCTGTTTTCGCTTACGCACCCTGCTGTATGCAGCAAGAAAGGCGACCCAGCTGATGTCACCGGCCGATACGGCATCATATCAATGATAGTTTCAGGAATCATGCCTGTATGCGGGCTGACACACTTCCACGGCGCCGTCAGGTTAACAAGATTAGGGTTTTCAAATGAGGCCTTGGGTTTGAAAGCCTGACTACAAAGCAGTAGTGTTTGGCGGAATAAAGATAGCATTACGTTTTTAAAGCCAACAAGCATGTCCCAATCCCCAACCTGGGTGACCAATGGCCTGTGTCCCTCAGATTTCCAACTAGTGACCAACCCTATATGAAAGACTTTGCGAATGCCAAACAGACACATGGACACATTATATCTCACTGGATCACGCAGGTACACAAACCGTCGCAACACGACAGGTTCTAGCCTCTTCAATTCGGAAGGGTTTCGTAAAAACGAGACAACTCACCGCCAAGAAAACAATGGTAATGGTTAATTATTTGGCTCTTGTTGAACAGAAGGTTGAAAAATATGCGGCAAACCTATACAAAGTGTTCATGAACTCTATATGGACAGACACTTAGTTTAATGGCTAATTCTCTCCATCGATAATGAATTTTCAGAAGATTATCCGTTCTCTGACAAAACCTTCAACGAAGAAGAATTATTCTATCACACAGGATATCCGCTGTTTAACGACGGCAGGTATTTTACATGATTTGTGTTTCTTCTATCGGTCAAACAAGTTTAACCCACTTTGCTCTGAACAAAAGCCCTGCAAGTCTACTTGGACTAGAACAAATTCACTAACCACTAATTTTACAGTCCAGTCACCTCGGCAGGTATTTTCAAAACGTACCACTACTTGGACTAGAACAAATTCACTAACCATGGGCCTAATTTTACAGTCCAGTCACCTCAGCAGGTATTTTCAAAACGTACCGATTAGAGTCCTTGCGACCTCTTTTCCCAACTGGACTGCCAGTTTGGCATCATCCTCCGGTGCAGTCTTAAAGTAAAGAATGTACCCAACCAAATGGTTCGGTGGATGCAAAATAAGCTGGCCCAAGTCGATATCAAAAGGGGCAGTTCCAGTTGAGGTCTAAAAATATGAAACGAAGACAAAATTTTAAGCATATACGATTGTGAAGCAGTCTGCTTTCTTAATAATAAAGATCATTCAATCAAACATCGAAATTGTCCGGCATGTGGCCAAAGATCGCCCACATTTCGGATTCAATTTATCGACCCATTATGTATCAATCTTGGTCAAGGTCACAACAATTTAGTAGAAGGATGAAATTCAGACAATAGGCACGAATGCATTCAAAAGCCAGTGTCATGATCATTTATTAGTACCAGGGGAACACGCAGCTAAAAATAACAAAGAAGACGATATACTTTGGATGGTGCAGAATTAGCAATAATAAATTAGCGAAATACCCTCGCTTGCATACCAAATACGTTTTGGCTGAGTCTCTCATTTATGATGTTCTTAAGCAACTGAATGAGCTACACCGTTTCATGTTTCAGCTGGTACGATATTCGAGAGATCGCGATACATTGTATGTAAGTAATGCTTACGAACATCATAAACGAGAGATTCAGCTGGGTTCAAGCTAAGTCTCCCGTCAAAAACAATTTGGTATGCAAATGAATGTATTTAACTAATTTCGTGCAATTTGGGTTCAAATAGAGCACAAGGTTGGTGGAAACTTGGGCACTGGGTCTTCCTGGTGGGCCAGCCTCAAGAAAGACAAAACCGATCGTGCATTGTCGAGGAGTTCCCATCAAACTTATGAGTGGTGCATCACGTCCATAATAGTGATTGTCTTCCTAATTCAGGTTTACATTCAACCTCCGAATGGCACACTTGTCGCAATACCATTTTTATTTAGGCAACACCAAAGGCAACCTAATTTCTGCACAAGACAACCACTAGCTGACTAACTATATCCCAGCCGCTCGGAACGTGTCTTGCAATATTTGGAGTCGAAAACCCCAGTTTTAGAACGTTTTATTCATTTCATACCCGAAAACGCCTAGTATCGTCGGAGTTATTTATTCATAATACCTGAGATAAAAAGGGTAACACTTGGTGACTCAAATGTTTCATTCAACCCTCAATCCCTACTGTTATTACCAACTAGCTCGTGTTACAATCCCTCCACTGAGCTGTGTTGGCTAACCTGAGAACTGTGACCCTCTGTGTGCATGTTTGTCTGCTATCCAACAAAAGTAGACAACTTGGAAAACTCATTGACCTAATCATGGATTACCTGAGAACTGTGACCCTCTGTGTGCATGTGTGTCTGCTATCCAATAAAAGTGGAAAACTCATCGATCTAATCATGGATTCCTATTTATCGGGGCCATTTGGCACACATCCGGATATAGGACTGTGTATCACAACAGAACAAACAGTAACTTCAGATAATCGGACTGAAATAATTCCAATAAAGTTGGAGGACATTCAGGTTCATAAAACAATGATAATATTACTTTGATCAGTCGAATAGTCCCATTTAGTTGGCACCTCCAACAATTTATTGCAAACACGAACATGCCGGTGTTTTGTCAAAGAATGAGTTCCCACCAACCACACCACTGGCTTGAAGTCAGAGCAATGACGGATATTGTTATCAGTGTGGGTAGTTTGGTGAGTTATATTATTGTTATCATTTTGCGAGGCAACATCGCAAACAAGAACAACGCAAAGTCTTGTACATTTTTCTTGCGCTACGTACTCTTTTGCATATCAGATATCAGCCCGAACACAGTACTACGTAAGTGTCTCACAACACCTTTATAAAGATTGCACAAATCGGGTTCCCCACTTATACTGTGGCTCCTCAGTAGCCTTAAACGTCAGTTATTGCCTCGAAACTATATGCACCAAAAGAACAATTTCCACAAAATCATCCTGATCCATCTGGTGGTTGGTTGTGTTGCTTGGGGAGAAGAATGGCATAGGTCTATCCGTGGCGCTATGGAAGTAATTAGGTGCCGCCACAAAATTATATTATATGAACAAAATCGAACACCGACGTACATGTTAGCTCATCCAACTGCTGCATCATTTTATTGGTTCATACATCCTATAGATTTTCTTTGATTTCAGAAAGCTATGTCTTTAAACAAGCTCTGGGGTTTAATCCACGCATACATTGCAGCAGATAACGCAATAACCCCCCATGGATTGTTGAGGAAATGTGTACCTAGCGTCAAGGTCCAAGATGTATTACTTCGTTTCTATCTCAAATTCAAACTAGCCGTCAGTAGAAAATTCATTATGTACATAGATGTTTCTGAAATATTCCCATAATGTCACTGGAAGAACAATCGAGGAACAACCTATTTTTATCCCCAGGGCTGTGCTTATCTGACCTACTTATCTTAAGAAGTAAAAAATAATAAAACATTCTGTCAGGTCACAAATTGTTGTACGATTCATCCAACCCAATGTACATGTTGTATGGACAGTTAGCTGACTGACAGATTAAAAGATAAACTGATTAGACGTTGCAGCTTCTGCGTGACTAGTGGATGTGCGTTGCAGGTGGTCGCTGGACCAAGGTGAGCTAAGCGCTCACACCAAGTGCCTTTGATGGAGAAAGGCTGGAGTGGGTGAGCCTACTGTAGCATTTGTGGCGTGGCCAAGCAAAACCTTTAGATCGGCTTCAGTAGCCCGCATGCAAAAAGGACAAAGGACTAGATACACATTCAGGGGTTGTCACCGTTATTAGAGTGGACTAGATCTGACAGGACACCACTTCTGAGTGACCTGGTGATTCCACTGGAATGTGCCCAGTCGTTCGTCAACGGATTCGGCCACATACCAGCAAGAAAAAAAGCACACAACCATCCACCAACTAGATTCAGGTGCATACGATTTTCGTCCGACAGGAGACCCAGTCGCGTAGTGGTCCTCCAATAAAAAGTACACATCCACACAATGAGTGTAAACTAACATCCTGTAATTGAGTTTCAGTTGGAACACCACTTTGGTAGTGAACCAGGATCTCATATTTGTTACCATAAATACATACTGCAACGGCCTGGAAACCCGGCGTTTGATCAAATCTACGAACTATTGAGCTTATAAAAACAAGCTTCTTCTTCACTGTCAAGATGACCGGACGCATCGGGAATTGCACCATGTTTATTGATGAAGAATTCGAGATACCTGTTGCGTCTCAGTTCATTTGATGATATGAGCCAATTCGGCTTTCAGGAATTTGGCAGAGCAAATTCGCCTTACTGAATCCATTAGATTGTCAAATTACGCTTTTGTTTCAAGAATGCATATGTATATATGTCTGCGTTTGAGTTGTTGGCAGCTCCAGTCACAGTTAAAAGTAAGGTGAATGCCTTACTATCCCTACGTTAAAAGCTTTATGACTTATCAATACCCTCACGTTTGCCAATTTTTTCTTGGTGGTTGAATAACGTGGCTGAAAAATTCGTGCACTAGTTCTCTGTCGAAGTGCGAATCTACTATAAGTGACCATTCCAAATATTAAAATAACGCGGGTGTTTATATCCTTAATCTGAAAGGTTATCATTAGAGGAGCCTGTCAACACCAGCTCACTTGACATGCACCGTTTGGCTCCAGAATTTTGGCACTATATCCTACCACAGAACAAGTCCTCACACTCATATCCTTATTGCAGAGTTTTCAACTAGATTCGTATGGATCACACTCGTGATAATGCTTGATAAAGATGATAAATTCGTGCAATGGACTCAGGGTTTTCAGCACAGACTAACTTTACTTAGGGCTGCGAACTGTGACTGAGATATCCGGATACAATTCAAGTTAAACGGTATCAATTATAACCATCGTGTTCACACAGACTAAGAACATCTTGTTTAGCATACTTCTAGTGCATTCCGTTTTAATGAGCACCAGGCTACCAGTTAGGAGTGTTAAATCACATCCGGTCATTCTGTTAACCACAACGAATCAAGGTTAAGTTCAATGAGGTATTTAACCTTGTCCGTGTTGACGTGTACCGTCATTTTAATACACAAGTATTTCATGAATCCGAATATATCTGAGCTCTTAGATCACTCGTGGACATTTACTGGTTAATAATGTTCTTAGGTCCCTTAACTCATCTAGTTAGTTGTATCTTAGTGTATTTTCCCATCACCATTGACATAGTATGTTCAGCTGGGGAGCAGATGAGCGGGTGTTCTCTATAATTATGCATATCATTTTGTCATATCATTCTTGATATATTTTAAAATTGTAAAACCCTATCATTTATGTACTTTTATAAATTATGTACGGGATAGCAGCGGTTGCCTTGGATTATTCTGAGAGATGAGTTGCTCCAAGACCGCGAAACCTACCTTCTTATCGGCGTTATCCAAAAGACTCAAAGCATAACGCTGTACGTTTGAAATCGGTGTCGATCTCGAAAAAGCAGGTATGGTGTCCAGTTGAATGACTAAAATAATGAAGCAGAAAAAGTTATGCAAACGAAATTCCCGAAGCTTTTGTAGAGTCCAGTTATACTCTTACTACGCGAGGTCAAAACATAATCGGTCGCAGTAATGTAACACTGTGCTACAAGTTATATCTGTTCATTTATTCATCATTCTACAAGGGACAGGTTGCTAAACTGGGTCAATAGCATCAAACTATGGTCGGCCTCATTTTGTGAAAGTGGTAAATTTTGAATGAAAACATTCGCCGAAGACCCTTTGCGATAACGGTATCACTACCGATCCCGGCCATAGTGTGTCGACATTGTTGTCAGGATATGAGGCGATGGATTAATTGAAACTAGATTAGAATTATGTCCTGTCTTGATTTAATGAGAAAGCAAAGCAAGATCAGTGACTGGATAATCTTTTTCCTAGGGCTGTACTAAAGCACTAGTCTGTTAAGCAGCCGCGAGAGATCCACTTTCCCACACGGTCCTTGAAACCAATCCATATTTCATTGCCATGAAATTCTTAAAACTAGCTGCCCACTTTTCATCCTCTACCGCCCAGACACTCTTCAAGATCTTTCTCAAAGACAGGGACATGGGACTATACTTTCGACTCTTTTTATTAGAGGTGACAAAAACTCACTTAAGCGTAGAAGTTTAGGCGATAAAATTATATTTTATTAGCTGGATAAAATCAGGGTTGAGACACAAAGATAGGTACACTAAATATCTGCAAATGACTGCAAACACTTTTGATGCCGCAATATTCATTCGGCTACGTACAGCACACGTTTTATTGCTGTGACAACAATAGGATTAATCATAATGAAATGCACGGAGAAGAATTCGACGTTAAATTGCTTAGCAACCAAGACACCTTCTGGCAGAATGGTCAGCTTGAAACGAATTGATACTGATACAGCGGCTTGATGAATTTGGTCCTCCCTATATAACCAACAGAAGGGCATCATCCACTAAGGGAGTTTTTGATGTCGTATATTTGATTTGTACACACTTCGGGAGAGAAGATAGTGGCTAACCTTCAACCTGTCCTTCCTTTTGCCAAAGAGCATCTCAGTTAAATTGTCGAAATTCAAAGATTAGGGGCGCCTAATGTAGCATCATTTTGTTCACTGTATCTAACATCAAAGGCCGTACTGTGCCGCTATGCGTACAGATATTAATCGTCATTTTTTTACTGTTATACGCAGAAGACTGATACACATTAGTGCTCACCGGTGAGGGAATTTTTCGTGGTTGTGTCACACACTTGTGCAATCATCCTCGGACGTTCTGAAATGTTACGAAAGTGTATATGCATAAATTTATATATTCATCAAGATGAAATAATTTATCCCATGGTAGAAACTGATTGTGCGGACTTACTCCTCTTTTCTCTCGATTTCGGAGCCGGCCACCAACCTACAGGAATAGATATGTGCAAACTATCGTTATCTTCCATCACACTGGAAGCTTTATAGCATAAAATCTCAAAATAAAGTTCCGTCTCCTTTTCAAGTACTGTTACCATGTATCCCAATAAATTTGTGGTCACTAAAAACTTCATGGAACCGAACAACACTCAACTTTGATCCTTGTTCCGTATTTTTTATGCCCAGGGCAGCATTATCACCAGAGTGATTGTGTATGTATTTTCGACCGTCACCTAATTTAAACACTGACATCTTTCAAACGGTGCATCTAGTGAAAGGAATATTGCACAACTTTTCATTCTGGAATGTTTCTAACGCGTGTTAATAACTTCGGTCCTATACGTTGCAATATGCACGCCCAGAAACATACCGAAACATAGTAAGATGAATAATCATGGTCAGATCTGCTTGTAGCACATTTTTAGCGCTTAAATTCAGGATACCGCACAGGAGTTATCAAATCTGTGCACTGCAAGACAGGTAAGCTAAAGCCCTCTAACACGTAGCTTACGCAGTTGACCAGCTAAGAATTCTGACTTTAAAAAAATTGGCTGTAAAATAGTTTAACGAAATTCGCAAGTAGATTTTGGTGGCACCATCCTGCCCTGGACTCAAACCAGCCGCATACTGGGAGGAGATGCGATAGACCAGTGGAAGCCATTCTCGTCTATTCCGGTAGTGAGCGTTGAAGCATACAAGGCCAGTGTTTTTGAGTGTCGCTATGGCATTCGTTTTGTAGCAGTGTTCTCATTTTAATCAAGGGTTTCACAACGCATGGGCCTAGCAACCGTGACAAAAGTGTCGAAGTTACTCGAAGCGGGCTGCGGTAGAGCTGTTGCTGTTGCCAATTCACTACACGAGAAAAATGTGGTTGCACAGGCCGCGCAGATCTGTGTTCGTGTATAATATTCGGATTCCAAGTANTCACTAAAAACTTCATGGAACCGAACAACGCTCAACTTTGATCCTTGTTCCGCATTTTTTATGCCCAGGGCAGCATCATCACCAGAGTGATTGTGTGTGTATTTTCGACCGTCAATTAATTTAAACACTGACATCTTTCAAATGGTGCATCTAGTGAAAGGAATATTGCACAACTTTTCATTCTGGAATGTTTCTAACGCGTGTTAATAACTTCCGTCCTATACGTTGCAATATGCACGCCCAGAAACATACCGAAACATAGTAACATGAATAATCATGGTCAGATCTGCTTGTAGCACATTTTTAGCGCTTAAATTCAGGATATCGCACACGAGTTATCAAATTTGTGCACTGCAAGACAGGTAAGCTGAAGCCCTCTAAAACGTGGCTTACGTAGTTGACCAGCTAAGAAGTCTGACTGAAAAAACTTGGCTGTAAAATGGTTTCACGAAATTCGCACCATTCGGCCCTGGACTCAAACCAGCCGCATAGTGGGAGGGGATACGGTAGACCAGTAGAAGCCATCCTCGTCTACTCCGGTAGTGAGCATTCAAGCATATAGGGCCAGTGTTTTTTAGTGTTGCTATGGCACTAGCTTTGTAGCAGTGATCTCATTTTTAGTCAAGGCTATCACAACACATGGGCGTAGCAACTGTGACAAAAGTGTCGAAGTTACTCGAAGTAGGCTGTGGTAGAGCTGTTGCTGTTGCCAATTCAGTACACGAGAAAAATGGGATTGCACAGGCCGTGCAGATCTGTGTTCGTGTATAATATTCGGATTCCAAGTAAGGAAATCGGTATACTGCAGCTGCGTATGTCGAAATAGAACATCAACACTATTGACTTAATATAGTTGCTGATGTTTACGTGCAACAGCTGTTGATGCACTGTATTGTTCATAGTTTGCGACGTCGGTAGATTAACTTAACAGGATGCTGTGCATACAAAATGAGAACGGGCTCCACTGTATCCACCGTGTTTTTGGTTTTTCAATCAGGTACACAAGTATACATTGGACGTTGCATGAGTAGCTGTGGAAACAGCAACCCGAGATAAGGGGGAAAAATCCATTTGTCGGTACCTGGAAGTGTGTGTTTCAGATAGCAGCTGAGGAACTGCTGTATTTGGAAGATACTTCAGTATTCTTGGAAGCTCAAGCCAGAGCACACACAGGGGTGGTGGGCTATAGTTTCGTCCACTGGCTTCGTATAGAACACAATCACAACCGTAACAAATATGGCTGAATTTCTCAGGTAGAATTTTCAACATCTAGCCGAGATGTTGTTCTGAGCGTGTTGCTGAATTGTTCTCAGAATCAAGTTCAAAATGCAGAGTACCCATTTCTGAAACTCCTCTTACATTAGAGTGTTAGCAGATCGACGCTTCCTGTCAAATCATGTATGGGTTCGGTGGGTGTGGACAGCCTTCGAACAGTAATCGTCGTAACTACAGTTGAGACTGTGCCTGTTGTGTTTATTACGTGCTGCGTACAATGAATCACTAAATCTGTAGCACTGCCACTGCATCAATTCCTTACAGACCGGGTGTTGGGGAACCTTGAATTTTGACTGTGTTGCAAAATATAGGTTGCTCTGGTGCCCTGTTTGACCGTTGGAAGAAAAGTGTGGATGCAACGAAGATTTAAATGTGACGACTAAGGTGAACACTATTTTGGCCATGTTGGAAGAAAACTTGGCACCATAATGTATGAACACACACATGCCAGGAGGCATGACCCAATGTCACTTGTTTGAATTCAGGAAGACAAAAAAGCATGTCAGTTGAATTGGGATGATGTTTGCAGACTCGTTCACGAAGGAACAAAACGGGAGCGAGGGTTTGCGGAAGCGTGGTACACCACATAAAAATCTACAAAGAAATATATCGATGTCGGCCAAGTCTACAGTTGTGGGGCTCTGAACCACGTGGGAGACTAAATGACCTCACGGCAACCAACAGACTAATCGAGGCTAAGAAAGAAAGCCACTGAAAATGGAAGTTTATCCAATGAAGTGGAACAAAACTGGACGAAAAAAAACCAAGGGTGAAACGGCCCAGTTACAGTGGAGGAACAGAACCGTTGAACTGATTACGCTCAGTGAACTAACCAGATGCAAGGAAATGAAATCACACCGCAACCCAGATTCGAAACTGACTAATCAAATTGCGCGAAAGCCACCTCGGGGGCCAACCTGCCACTCTAGAGTTATTGGATATTGTTTAGAAATTATAACAAAACAAGCAGATGTCGAGAACTTTACCCGCTGAACCTCGCGCAGATGATTTCAATTCGGTTGATGGTGAGACGTTTTTGATCCAATGCGAAACTCGGAAACATACCAACGGCCCACCCTGAATGTCTCGATCACTACTGCCGTAAAAGCCTTGAAGAAGACTTTGGAATGTTCTTGAAGCCACTCGGGTGAAATTCTGAATAGTGACGGAGGTGGCTGCATTCTACCGTATTTCTAGGCTAATGCCTGCAAAATATTTCAAAATAAGCTTCTCCCGTCCAGAGACTCCCTGAGTTCACAACTCTGAGATAGTTCGAACCGTGCGCCAAAATTACTTGCAAAAAAGATTCCAAGCCAGGAATAACAATCATGCTAACGACTGTCAGGCCGGCTGAATCAAAATCAAGTGGAATAACAGGATGGCAAATTGAATGCTACATTCTAGGAGTTACGCAATGCATTTCACTACTTACTAGTAATTTCGGAGGACCCAGTATCACCATCTTTGTCCGAAAAGTCCGGTAGTGTAGTCACAAAGACGGCAATATAGGTGCTACCAGGTAGCTCTCCAACAGGAACGCTATATACTGCCTTCGGTTTCTCCGCCCCGGTAAACTTTTTGCCAACCTGTTGGAACAGAATAAGATAATCTCTTGGTTGTGCAAAGCGTCAAAATCAACAGCCTTATTTTTGCTTTGAAATTCAAACCGATTGAAACCCTTACCGTCTTCATCGTCAAATGCGCCGATCTTTTTCTACCACTTCCATTCTCTTCAAAAATGCACTCGGTGCCACACTGCGTTATAAAAGTGTTTATGAAATCTGTAATAGCGACCCAAATACGCTAATTGCTTGCGCTTTACTCACACATATAAAACTTCAAGTTCTCTGAACTTCGTTGTGCTTTTTTGTGCGCCCGTTTCGCTGTCAAACCGGGATTTTACCCTGCACATAAGGTCGTTTCATGCTCAAAAGCCAGGTGGCTGTGTATGATTTTTTTCATCTTTTCCGGGAGTCATTAGCAGCGCCAACAAAGTGTCTCATAATAGCCGCAAAATTTGATTGGGTAAGCAAATGTAAATAATTAGAAAAAGGATGAAAAAACTTTTTTATTGTGAATAGGTACACAAAGAAAATTTTGTGTGCAAGTGTTGGCATTTTTTCGTATGGCAAAGAAGAAAGTCTCTGAGTGATGAAAGAGCGCCCATTGTACATTGTCCCAGAGCATCATGGCATCTTCGTCTATAACTCATGTGGTTCAGGTGACCCGCATTCCCCGCGCCAGCGTGCATCGTGTTATGAGACGCCACCTTCATCTCTGCCCGTATCATTTCACTTTATTACAAAACACCACGGAACAAGACAAGGAGCAACGTGTCACGTTCGCTAACTGGCTGCTGGACAATGAAGAAGTCCAGCAGTCCAGTCCTGTGGAGCAATGAAGCGAATTCTTCTGTGGATGTCATAATCAACAATCACAATTGCGTGATATGGTCCCGTGAAGCTCCTCACGAGTACCTCAACCACGGAACAAGACAAGGAGCAACGTGTCACGTTCGCTAACTGGCTGCTGGACAATGAAGAAGTCCAGCAGTCCAGTCCTGTGAAGCAATGAAGCGAATTCTTCTGTGGATGTCATAATCAATAATCACAATTGCGTGATATTGGTCCCGTGAGCTCCTCACGAGTACCTCACCCATAATCTCGATTCCCCTCATCTCTGTTTGTGGATGGGATCTTCCTCAAAGTTTCTCCCGGGTCCCTTTTTATATGATGCTACGGTTTCCGGCGACAGTTACCTCCATATGCTGCAGACGCATGTTATCCCCCAACTCAAGCAGCACAAGGAGTCATCGACCATCTTCCAACAAGATGACGCTCCACTCCACTACTCAAACTAAGTGAGAACTTACCTCCGAGAGCAATTTTCTGACGAGAGAGTCATTGCTCGTGGATTTCCAAACTTTTGGCCCGCAAGGTCACCCGATCTTACACGTCTGAATTATTGGTTTTGGGGAGTGATAAAGGCTCGCGTATATCATGAAAATAAACCGAAGAATTTGGTGGAGTTAAGAGCAAGAATTGAAAACGGGCGTGCACGAGTGACGCTTGAAGAAGTTAAACATGCTGTACAAGGAGCAACGTGTCACGTTCGCTAACTGGCTGCTGGACAATGAAGAAGTCCAGCAGTCCAGTCCTGTGGAGCAATGAAGGGAATTCTTCTGTGGATGTCATAATCAACAATCACAATTGCGTGATATGGTCCCGTGAAGCTCCTCACGAGTACCTCGCCCATAATCTCGATTCCCCTCATCTCTGTGTGCGGATGGGATCTTCTTCAAAGTTCCTCCTGCATCTCTTCTTCTTTGATGTTACGGTTTCCGGTGACAGTTACCTCTATATGCTGCAGACTCATGTTGTCCCGCAATTCAAGCAGAACAAGAAGTCACCAAAAAATCGTCCTTCAACAAGATGGCGCTCCACCTTACTACTCAAACCAACTGAGAACTCCTCCGAGAGCAATTTTCCGGTGGAGTAATTGCTCGTGGATTTCCAAACTTTTGGCCCGCAAGGTCATCGATCTCACACCTCTGGATTATTGGTTTTGGAGAACGATCAAGGCTCGCGTATATCATGAAAATAAACCGAAGAATTTGGTGGAGTTAAGAGCATGAATTAAAGAGGGGTGTGCACGAGTGACACTTGAAGTTAAACATGCTGTGTCTCCCCTCTCATACCGCCTCCAACTTGTTATAGAAGAAAGGGGCGGTTTTTTCAACATCGTTTGTAATACCGGTTTGGTTATAGTAAACCTCCATTATGCTTATATGTTTACATAAAAAATAATTGTTATTTAAATTAATTTTAAAGTTTCAACATAAGTATTAGCTTTGCGTTTTTAATGAGACAACTTGTAGTTAAATAATTCTCAAAGAATTCTCAAAGAATTCTCATACATATGTTCTCCCGGATGATAGCCAAGCGCCACAAAAGTTGGTCGTGGACGGATGAAAAGCAGATAGGTTCACCCATCTTGATAAGGTATACCTCCATTAGACTTCAGTCGTGCAGTCGACCTTACGTTATCTGCTGTTGACTTGCTGTCTTAATCTAGCTTTTTGCCAAGTGAACACTGAAGAGAGGTCCCGACGGCTTTGAAAGGGCCTTCACTCAGAGCATCACATCTAGATTGAGTCTTCAAAACCTCCTGAATGCTTACAAACTGGTGGCTCGAAATACTTACGTCTCATGATCAGGAAACCTTCTTGTGTGTAACTAATAGTAACCACATTCTAGCTTGCCTGTAAGCAGAAGCGTGAAATTCCATGTCACCGGAGTTGAAGGCTTTAATTGCCGGAAAGCCACGCGTGACCGCCGCAACCACTAACGAATGCGCAATTTCACCCCTCCTCCTTTTTGGATTGGCGGCCAACCAATTGATGACCAACTCACTTTTGAGCAACAGTTCTTCATATCATACAGATTGTTTAAGGTACACGTTGTCTGGGGCCAGCAGTTAATTTAGGTGCTTCAAAACACTCTGGTTCAGAGTCTCTATTATTTCATCAAGCAGGCGTTCAGGTCTCCTGTTGCCAGCAACATTATGAAATAGTTCCATCTAAGCTTCAAACGGAAGAATCAGATTGCATTTTTTAAATACACATCCCAACAGCATTGAAAAATAAGGCTAACTGTAGGCATTTAAATCAAAAATAAACAGATGGTCTCATGCATAACTGTATGCCACCGTATTTCTGAGTTTCATGAACAGATATAAAGCCCGATAACTGTATCCCTTAATACTGCGCATTTTGCAGAGTGTGAAGCTTGAACATGGAGAATATACATCCAGGCGAATCCAACAACAGCAGCGAATAACAATATCATAAGATATCCGTCTTTTAAAGTGAGTAAAAATTACGTATCCATTGAGATTGGTTGAGATTTTTTTCTCGCCGTTAGTGGGAGCCGCATGTCTTCCGAAATTAATTCAAGTGTGGTATACGTACCATGCTTTTTGGTACACACACAAATGTGAGCAGATATTGCTTTGGGAGAAACCCACTTTTTTGTTCCTTTTGTCCCTTTAGTTATCACTACCATCGTGAAAGATGCCATGCAACAACCCCTATCGCCCATTTTTCTATCGAACTTTGCGCCCATCTCACCATTCTGTTTTGTCCAGTCGTTCCTCAACACTCCGAACTTCATATGTCTCCCCATGTCTCCGAACCACACCAAGAAGCTCAACTTTATTTCGTTAAGATGATTACAATGGGCGGGCCAATAATTTATGTAATATTATATAAACGTATGTATCCTACCTTCTAGTTGGCACCACCAACTGACTTTCACCAACTGGTTTTGTTCTACGCTCCACACAAAACGCTGGTTGATGTACAGGACACTTCTGTCACGGGTGAAACGTATTAAAAATCCTTCAGTTCTCTACTCTCACTAACCGACGAGTTGAATGGATAATTTCGTTGCACTGTGTGACATTCTTGTTCGATTGAGGACTAGAAAATAAAGTTTGTTTTGTCCTTGGATGATTTCATTGAAGCGATGCAACGAAAGTTCATAAAGGTCACTCATCCACTCCTCTGATGATCAGATATGTTGTTTGGACCTTTAAAAACTAACTGGGCAACATTGCACTGAAAACACTCTTGTGTTTTCATCGACTCATTGTTGTGGGTCAGCTCTGATGACCATCTGAATGAAGGCACTACTGACAATACTGACAATACTGTTTGTTACATCACTCAACTGGTCAATGCAGGTTGGGGTTACCTGTTTGAGTGATAATGACTTTTCCTAATATGTTTCAATCGGTTGTCCTTTAAAATCTGTTTTATTCATTTATTGCGGCGTGCGGTGCATACGGAAGTCAAATTCTTTTAAAAATCAAAAACGGTTGATCCATATATCGTTTTGGTTATGATTCTGCACTTATGTTAATGACCATTCGCACAGATTGAAGTGAAGATGAAGCACTGGACAGTGAATTTCTGACATCACCATTTACACAACATCTTTTTGCGTCCGCGGTTAAGCTAAATTCAAATCAGCACACGAACTGCACATGCCTAAAATCTTTCGGACTTTAAACCGTTTTCTAGGGTCCAAAGGAGCGTCATAGGCATCGTTTTCCAACAAGATGTTCATGGCATATCATAACAATGCAAACTCCTCCCACAGTTGTTGATATCCTGGAACAGTCATAATAATAATGCGCGTCAACTAGCAAGGATGATATTTATTACACCTTGAGGAGACTCCCGTGCAAAACCTCACCCATTTTCATACGCAGACACAGATCTTGGTTGTTGAATGCGAAAATAGGGAGCTAAGGTTTTGTGCTGATGAAGTCTATTTTTATACGTTCTTTGTTTCCCTGTTTTTGAACCTAGCGTAAATGACATTTTTTAGAATACCGTACATTTAAAAGATTGTATTCGATGATGCTAAGTAAGTCAACTGAAGCTGAAGTGTGAATATCTAAAAATAATATTCTAGTGACCTACGATTTTGAATCGTAAACATGTGCTCAAAACCGATTGTGAAGCAGTTTACTCAACGGTCGCTGAACTCAAGCAGGAAATCATTTTTCGGCGGTATCCTGCGGTTTATGTAGAATAAACTGATGGAAAAATGAAACCAATCCTGGACACTACTGTTTTTCAATTCCACTTCCATTCCAGTGGCCTCTATTATAGTACACGTAAATAATTTAGAACAACACACTTCCGCGATCAGTTTGGTTACCCTAGAAATAACGACCACTTTCTGACACAAAAACGATTTTGAGAAACATTCTTATCCAAAACAGCATCACATTTTGTCGAATAACACCAAAATTAGCCTATCGGAAATCCCTCAAAGTTCTCTGAGTACCTGAAGAATAGGTTTATTTCGAATCGCGGTGTTTGTTTGTACTAAAACCCAAAGCTATTAAAAATGTTAGCATTTTTTAATTTCTTTTCGCCTTTTTTTATTTGGAGCGCATTTTGTTTCACGATTCGTCATCCTTTTCCAGTAGCTCAGCTTGTTTTTGTTTATATAGTACCTCAGTGAATTTTATGTTACTTTAGCGAAATTCCGCTGCAGGTTGCTGCTAGATACCCCGGTTTGTAGGTTGGTTCAGAGATTGTTTATTCTTCGAGCAAGTAACGTGGTAACAATGTGCGAAACTAATGTGTTAAGAAATGCTGGTGTTTCTCAGGTGGTTAGTGTAGCCTGTTACGCTGGCAGTTCACTGACGCTTGAAGGATCTTTCGCTGTTCATTAAGCAGCGAGAAAAGCCTCCAGGTTCGTGAGAGAAATCTGTGTTTTGATGTACCCGAGCACCCGCAAATGAGCTTCCTCGTGTTATTAGATGAGATTTTGAAGCAACTGTTACAGGCAAAAATTAAGTGAAACAGTTATAAACTACTCATGTTGTTCAAGTAGCAGAACAATAGGACCAACTTTTCATCGACGGTGAGTGATGTTACCTGCTATAGATATTTTTCAGGGTTGTCCACAGTTAGACGAGCAAATCTTCACACTGGAACTAGGGTGTCTGCCAGCCAGCAGGTATCTATTAAATAGGTTAAGCTCTTCGCCGTTGTACTACGGCCCAGTGATACACCAACTTTGTTTATGTTTGGCGTCCCCCTCACTTGACTGGAATTCTTCATCCATATCTTGCCTGTGACATATCCACAAACAGCGAGAAATGGAAACTTCCTGGAGATCGTTTTCTGTGTCCCAAGGATGAAAGTTTCCTTTTGATCTTTCTGGACGTAACATTTTCCAGATTATACATATCTTATGGAGAAAGCTGATCACCCAAATATGCCTGATAATGAATAAAGCAGTTGATAAATTCATTTGACTCAATGGCTTCGGCTGCAAGGAATCCGGACTTGGTTCGCCAAACCAGTAATGGTCCTTTGGGTAAATCTTTACAACTGTGCTGTTTCAGCAACTCCGTCCGCCCCATTTTAAGCAGACTGCATGCATGAACTTGTTCGTCTAATGAGGTCGGGCGCTGTTTAGCAGCCGGCTCTTACCTCAGTTTCAGTCGCTCATAATCAGCCCGCGTTACATAAAGTAGGAGCCTTCTTTAAAAAAATCAGTTGCTTCATAATATCTAGTTTTCAATGGTTAAAACTGGGCATTCAAAACTGGGTAATTTACGTAAGTGTTAGGAGGGAAGTCACAGGAATAATAGTCGCATTAGAGACAAATCCTAAGAAAAACCTTCACGATCCCCACTATGATGCCTTCAAAGCGGGCCCGTCAACTACTACAGTTCCGGTTCGACACGTGTGTTCTAACGTCGGCAGTGCCCCTGCATTATATTGATCAGATGTTTTTCAAAACCGCATTCCGGTACCAACATAATACGTGCAAAATTTGCCTACACTTCTACTGCAGATCTACATTGATTCCTCGGAAAACAAAAGAGTTAGTTTTTCAGGTCATGTGGGTGTACTTGTTCATTAAAACCACCTGATAAAGTTTTATGGGTGCTTGAAGATGGCACGTATAAGGTGATCAGATTACAAGAACAAACAGAACTGAGCTGTCAGATTGTGGATTATAAGTGGCGAACTCACGGCTATTTGAAACTCCCTGTCCGAACTCCAAACATCGCTGCTTGATCCTTCTTTCTCTACCTTGTTCAACATAGCCTCTGTTTTACAGGAGGAAAAGGTTTGGTAGAACATCGCAAATTAGTAAACAAAATTACGTAATCCAGAGCAACTCTGGGAGAAGATGGGTTTAGTTGAATTGCACTGTAATAACATGGAATAACTTTGCGTTCTTTTTTCGGGTGACCGTTACCATGGCTACTTAAAAAGAGTTTCGCATTCGGTGGAGACTGCACCCAATGAATCCCTAATTCCGTTGTACACAGTTCACTTCGTGGCCATGCAGCGCTTAAGCCTACCCAAATAAAAATGCAATGACTTCACAGAGTAGGACTTCGAAACATTCACGACAAATTCCAATATTTAATTACCTAATCCAAAAGTGGGAGGAAACTGCTCATGATTCCACACCCTCAAGCTCACATTACGACTCACACGATCTTAGTAGATTGCTCTTCACCAGCAGTGCACATTAGATGTGAGCAAATACAAAAAATCATTCAAATTAGAGATGCCTTAGTAATGGAAGCACCACACAGGAGCCAAGGTCACCCTGGTTATCGAGAAAAGGATGTTAAATGTTTCTCACCTGACGCACTATTATTTAGAGTTGGCACTGTTTCGTAATCGCGCAATCGCTTAATCATCCATTCTCGGTCAGCCGCAATCAGTTATTGATTTTAGTGAGGATTCCGTCCTCTGAAACGCCCATAAGTACCGTATGGCTGTTTCATCTCTATTTGGACTCATGAGCAGTGCGCAGCCCACGAATCTCCAGGGGGTCTCAAACCCCAAACCTCCAAACTAGTGGTTTGAACTCTCAGCCATTCGGCCACGAGCGGTTTATCAGTAGTACATTTAGCTCTCATTTAGACAAAATGTAGCTCTACTCATCCTCCACTCAGAAAGAGACCACCTCACGTGGTCATGTTCTGACTGACTTTTCGAGTGACGACTTCTCAAATGGAAGTTTCACACATCGGGTGAATTTCATTCTTTCTCTGAGCCGCCTATGGACCATTGATATTGCAAGGAGATCTGGTAGAGAGATGAGTGGCGCTATATTCTGCCTACGTGTGGGATGATCAAACCGGTAAGCAGCTGCTCGTAGCTAAACAGTTAAGCGTTCAAACTATCAGTTGGATTCAAAATTGCCTGGCATTTCGTAAGAAGTGCACCGCCCTTCAGCATGGATTGGCTTCACATACAGCACGGAATCTCCGTTAAAATCCCAAAATCTCACACTACCGACAACTGGTACTTCACAACACGCAAGACTACTCTAGGCTGTCTGAAAATCAATCTAACCTGGAACTTATGGACTACAAGGGAAACTGATACTCAATGGCAGTTATTTTGTGGACTAGCTCAGGCTGTTTTTACCAAACCATCCCCGGTCAGGACCCACACAAAATAGACACATACAAGCTACTGACTGCTTCCACCTTCTACACATTTTCGATCCCCAAATAATACATCAACGACGTAGAATCGCAGGGGGGTGCTTGAAAGGAGTCAATAAATTTGTCCCTTCGATTTAACGACCCGCTCTGTCAATATTTCAACTTGCATTGGCAAATCTCCAACGTAGCTTTACGCACATCACCGCTAAGGAATAGGAGACAGAAAAACCACAAGCTCTTGCTTCTTGATAGCTGTCAGTCCTAATGCAATCTTTTTCCGATCGGAAACCATCTTTTGTTTCAAGCTTTGCAATGGACGCTACTGATCCAAACAGCAGGTTTCCATTATGGTTGCTCTGATAGAGCAGCTGCTTAGCTTGCATGCCTTAATGCTATCTACTGGAACGCCATTCGCAGTCAAATAAATGTCCAGAACAAGACTTCGCACTACATGAGCTTGTAAACGGGTGAAGAAACCATTCGGTTGGGAATTCATGTTTGCTTCGACCGATTGGGTATGCCTTTTTCTAAACAAAAGCTCCTGGAACTGCCTCCGAGTACATCAGTGTTGCGTGTTTAAGGTGCCAGTAGGAATACTCGGTCGCAATTTTCGACGTCAGTACGATTAAGTGGAAATGAATAACACATGAAATCCATCTGCGCAATCCATCTAAATAGCTGTTCGTCTTTTATACTGAT